GGTACCGTTATATGGGGACTATACAAAGACATGGACCTGTCTTAGGCTGTAGTATCCATTTCGAACTTTAAATACCAAATTTGAAACAATTCCGGTGAATAATGTCGCTAAAATTATCAAAATACCGAATATCGGGAGTTACCGTTATATGGGGACTATACCAAAACGTGGACCTACATGGCCCATTTTCAATACCACAAGTCCTCCAGGTCCATTTGGGTAAAATTTTATCAATCTACTTCAATTCGTTCGGAAGCTAGAATGATTTCCACAGACGAATAGACAGACGGACATTGCTAAATCGACATAGAATTTTATGCTGATCAAGAAGAGGTGTTACAAACGCAATGAAAAACTTAATATACCCCCCCCCCCCCCTACCTTTGGTGGAGGGTATAAAAATATATATATCATGGTGGCCTTATTATCTGTTTATATATAAGTTATGTAATCTTAACAGTCAGACCTCCACCATTTATTGCGCGATGGTAGGCCCAATAATTATCTTTGACTTGCGACAGTTAAAGCGGACAATGAGGTATTTTATCTTCGGCTAAACTAATTTAAACACCTTGAGACGAGACAATTTGTGGGATTACTTTCGTTATAACTCTCCCAGGGGCTCGCACCATTATGGAATAAAGGAAGCCAATTATTGAGGGAGATTAAGCTTTCGGATAAGTTTCCCCTTCAGCATTGGTAAATAGGTCATCAACTAAGAATTCATCGTGAGACTCCAAATAGAAGGACCACAAATACAGTGTGAGATGAAAAAACTGCAACCAACTTCAGAATGCTGTAATTTCTAAAACACTCGTCCGACAGCTGTTAAAATTATTCCAGTGACAGCTCATTATTTGTTTACAAGCGTACATAAGCTTCTTCGTGAGAATTTTCCAGAAAATAAGTTATTTGAGATGGAATTCAAGCGGGATAGTGTGATTTCTTTATATTTGGCTGGAAAACCACAAGTGGCTATAGTTAGAGAACTCCAGCATTTAAATGTGAATAAATCTTTTGTGTCTCGTACCATCGCTCGTTACCGTCATACTGGTAGCGTAGCCCGACATCAAGGAAGTGGACGGAAGAAAACAAAAGCAACGGGCTGAAGCCATTGAAATTCCAAAACGTGCAAGAACTTACACCGCAACTGAAAGAAAATAGACTCAAAAGAGCTAAAGAGTTGCTTCGCTTGCCTGAAAGTGGTGAACTGCCGAATTTGGGTTTCACCGATGAGTTGGCCCCAAAATACCAAAATGTCAATCACCTAAGGCAAGCGCTTCGCCGGGATTGGGCCAAAATACCCCAGAGCAACATTCGAGTAGCGTGTGACGGTTTCATTTGCCGTTTGTAGGCCATAATTCGTGCCAAAGGTGACCAATTCGACAAAAATATAAACTTATTCTAAAATTCGATGATGTTTCCGACATTTTTTGCTTTCATTCAAAAAAATTAAAAAAAAAATGTAAAAATTATGGCGTCTGACTTTGTTGCAGTTTTTTATCTAACCCTGTATTTATAATTACAATGATCTCCTAAATATTTACAATATTTACAAAGGATTATATACTGGCTGCTGCGATACCTTATAGACATCTTTTTCTAGGAAACTTAGAACGTTAGCCATAGAGAATTTAAAAATTTTAGCCCAATTATACCAGCTACCCCATCAAATTAACCTTCGATGTAAGCACATACGCAAAAAATGGGTAGGGTACCAAACATTGTCATAATTATTTGTGAATATGGATTCCGTTCATTTTTGCATTCCTCAAAATACCTAAATACTAGGTGTTCACTCACATTATTTTTTGCTGATACTTTGCTTTAATGGACACGAACAATTAATGCGGAAAATATTTCTATTTCCAGTGTCTTAAAAATGATACGACCTGTCATAAACTCATGTTTTTCTCAAATGCAGCCAAAGGCAAAAATGTCACAATTTCAAATGAAAACATGAAAAGGCGGGTCAAATATGAGTGTTTAAATTCAAAAGTTGACTTCGAACATTGTTAAATAATTATGTTTAATGGAAGAATTTAAAAATGTTAACTAATATGGAAAGGAAAAAAATGTGGATGCAGGCGTAACTGTGCCAAGAGAATGAGATTGAGGAAAATCTTACACTGCAAACATTAAGTGTATATGTACAGGGTGAGATGAAAAAACTGCAACAAAGTCAAACGCCATAATTTTTATATTTTTTAACTTTATTGAATGAAAGCAAAAAATTTCGGATATAGCATCAAATTTTAGAATAAGTTTAGATTTGTTCGAATTGGTCACCTTTGGCACGAATTATGACCTTCAAACGGCCAATGAAACCGTCACACGCTGTCCGAATGTTGCTCTGCGGCATTTTGGCCCATTCCCGGCGAAGCGCTTGCTTGAGGTGATCGACACGTTGGTATTTTTTAGTGCCAATCTTGCTTTCCAAAATATTCTAGACAAAATAGTCCAACGAATTGGTATCCGGAGATTTTAGTGACTATTATGCGCTGGAAACGAAGCGAGGAACCTCATTCTTGGGTGGCGCTTGCTGAGTGCGAAGGTGCTGAGTCCAGTTGGAATGTCCAAGGTCTGCGCCAAAATGTTTTGCGTGTCCCAAGCTTTAATACACCCTCCAGAATTTTTTCGCGATAATATTCGGCATTTATTGTGATGCCACGGACGATTAAAACGAGCGAAGAACGGCCATCGGTTGTTATGGCGGCCCACAACATCACCATTGCCGGCGTTTGAGTTCTGGTGGCCAACCGAAGGTGCACATTTTCAGCTGACCTTTTTTGGCAAGTAAACACGAACATTATGTTTGTTTACAAACTGCTGGACAACGAACGTTTTCTCATCGGAGAAAACCACAATCGGCAGTTCATCACTTTCGGCCAAGCAAAGCAACTCGTTAGCTCTTTTGCAACTATCTTCTTTCTCTTGCGGTTTAAGTTCTTGCACTTTTTATACCCTCCACCATAGTATGGAGGCAATATTAAGTTTGTCATTCCGTTTGTAACACCTCGAAATATACATTTTAGACCCCACAAAATATATATATTCTCGATCAGCATAAAATTCAATGTCGATTTAGCGATGTCCGTCCGTCTATCCGTCTGCCAGTCTGTGGAGATCACTCTAGCTTCCGAACAAAATGAAGTAGGTTGATAAAATTTTACTCAAATGTGTATTATGTCTGCAGGACTTTTGGTATTGCAAATGGGCCATGTAGGTCCACGTTTGGTTATAGCCCCCATATAAGTGACCCTCCCGATATTCGGTATTTTAATGATTTTAGCGACATTATTCATCGGAATTGTTTCAAAATTGGTATTTGAAGTTTGAAATGAATACTACAGCCTATGACAGAAAATTGTATGTGCAGGTCCACGTCTTCGTATAGCCCCCATATACCGTATCCCCCGATATTCGGTATTTTGATGATTTTTGTGACTTTATTCACCAGAATTGTTTCAAATTTGGTATTTGAAGTTCGTAATAGACACTACAGCATAAAACAGAAAATAAGCCATGTAGGTCCACGTCTTCGCATAGCCCCCATACAACGGTACCTCCCAATATTCGGTATTTTGATGATTTTAGCGACATTATTTACCGGAATTAATTCAAATTTTGTATTTGAAGTTTGAAATGAATACTACAGCCTATGACAGAAAATTGTATGTGCAGGTCCATGTCTTCGTAAAGCCCCCATACAGCGGTACTTCCCGATATTCGGCATTTTAATGATTTTAGCTACATTATTTACCGGAATTGTTTCAAATTTCGCATTGGTAGTTCGTAATGAATACCACAGTCTATGACAGAAAATTGTCTGTGCAGGTCCACGTCTTCGTATAGCCCCCATATAACGGTACCCCCCGATATTCGTTATTTTGATGATTTCTGTGACTTTATTCACCAGAATTGCTTCAAATTTCGCATTAAATGTTCGTAATGAATACCACAGCCTATGACAGAAAATTGTCTGTGCAGGTCCACGTCTTCGTATAGCCCCATATTACGGTACCTCCCGATATTTGGCATTTTGATGATTTTAGCGACATTATTTACCGGTATTGTTTCAAATTTGGTATTTGAAGTTTGAAATGAATACTACAGCCTATGGCAGAAAATTTTCTGTGCAGGTCCACATCTTCGTATAACCCCCATATAACGGTACCTCCCGATATTCGGTATTTTGAGGATTTTAGCGACATTATTCACCGGAATTGTTTCGATTTTCGCATTGGTAGTTCGTAATAAATACTACAGCCTATGCCAGAAAATTATCTGTGCAGGTCCGCGTTTTATAACCTCCATGGTACCTCCCTATATTCGTTATTTTGATGATTTTAGCTAGATTATAAACTGATTTTTTTTTTTTAAATTTCACATTTGAATATTGTAAAGCTTGTGCCAAAAGTTGCCTATGCAGGTCCACGTCGTCGTATAGACCCTAATATACGGCTACATTCTGTATTTTTAAGATTTTAACAGAATTTTTAACGGATTTTAATTTTATTTTGAAAATTGCCAAATTTGTACAAATGGTGGAAGGTATTCACCGAACTTACAGCTTTTTTACTGGTTTTACATTTTTTCGTAGCTATCCATCCTATCACGGCTAATGACATTTTGCGATAATTACAATTAATATTTGGGAATTTAATCATTAAAAATATCGCACTAATTATTATATACTCTAAGGGTTGTTAATGACATGACCTCTTTAGAGGGGGAAACTTCTTTAAAAACTGCAACAAATTTATCAAATTTTCATCCACACGAGGAGACAGAGAGGAGGTTAGCCTTTTTTCGAAAATATCTAAATTACAATCCCCCACACACAATTAAAAATAAATCAATTCCAAAAAAATATAATTTAAATATTGAAAAAGTGTAGGATCACAATTGGAAACATTGCAATCATTAGCAGTTGATCGGTGGTTTTCCACAATTCTAAATGGGAAATGTTCAGCAGATGTGTAATCGTTTTACTGGTGATGCTTCACCTATTTATTGCTATTGCGGTAAGTAAACTATGAATTTTTTGAATTTTAGTTTCAGGGTCACTCTCTAAGTCTCTCTCTCTCTCTCTCTCTTTCTCGTTTCAGTTGACCAAACGCACCTTTAAACTACAATTCTTCGACTATGATTGCCTGAATCTAACCTCACATATCAAAGTGTTTGAATGCGTTTTCGAACGACAGTCCGCCAATCGTTTTATATTCAGCGAACGTTTAATGTTGTCCCGGGATATGAATGAAAATTTCGAAATGCATTTGTTTATCAGTGCCAAGCCGAGGTATGGAAAAAAGAAGGTACAATTTATCGATGTCCGCTTTAATGTCTGTGAGTTCTTGAATCACCCGCTGCAAGTTCAAATGTTGAGGAGTTTACTCCTGGAACTTTTCCGCTCGAGTAATATTCCCCTGAATTGTCCCTTTAAGGGGGTGAGTATTTAATATTTGATCTTCTGTAGGTTTGTTGATAAGTTATTTGTTATTTTTCAGGATTTCCTTTACAAAATGAACAACTTCTCATTTACCGATGCCTATTTTCCACGCTACACACCAGCCGTGAATTTCACATTTCAAATGGAATTTTTCGATGGCAAAACAATGTTTGCAATAACGAGAATAACTGGCGATATCACACCATCGCGTTGAAAGGAAAGATATTGAAATTAAATGAATAAAGTCTTGAAGGAAGGAAAAGAGAAATTCTCTTTACCTTAGCAATGGATGACTTTCTTATTAAAAAACAAAAACCAGTAATCAAAATCCTAAAGCCGGGCGGGGCCGATTTTATGATAACCTACACCACTTTGCTAATTTAGTTGAGCTCCACTTAACAATTAAAAGTTTTTATGGGAGAATTCAATCATATACGCTATGATTATAATTATAATTTAAAATTTAAAGGACTAAATATGCCGAAGCATTTGTATCTTTTAAATTCGGACTTGTATTGCCCATTTGGTGCGAAATTAATTTGAAATCACATAAAGATATATGGGAGCTATATCCAAATCTAAGCCGATCTCGATAAAATTTGGCCAAGATATTTCTGAGCTGTATTTGATATATTTCTCTGAATATCGTTGTTACAGTGCCTATTACGGTTGAGGGTAACAAATACAACAAATCGGATGAACAATATATATGGGAGCTATAGCAATATCTGAACCGATTTTCACCAAATTTGCCATACTAGCTTCTAGACTCAATTCGGTTGCATGTTCCATTCCATTTAGACATATATTAGACGTTTGGTGTACAATAAAAAGTAAATCGGACGAAGTTATATATGGGAGCTATATCCAAATCTGAACCGATCTCGATAAAATTTAGCAAAGGTATTCCTGAGCTGTATTTGATATATTTCCCCAAATATTGTTGTTACAGAGTGCATATTACGGCTGCGGAGGACAAAAATAACAAATCGGATGAACAATATATATGGGAGCTATAGCTATATCTGAACCGATTTCGATCAAATTTGGCATACTTATTTTCAGGCCTAATTTGGATGTATGTGCAAAATTCCATAATATTCGGGCTGATATTACACGTTTGGTGCACAATAAAATGCAAATCGGACGAAGATATATATGGGAGCTATATCTAAATTTTGACCGATTATCTCCAATTTCAATCGTCCTTGGGCCAAACGAATGATCCGTGCAAAATTTCATTTCAATCGGATAATAAATACGACCTGCATTTTGTTCACAAGAATACATGGACGGACGGACAGACGGACTGACATGCATAAATCAACTCAGAAAGTGATTCTGTGCAGATCATCAAAATGAACTATAAGTCTATCTCGTTTCCTTTTGCCTGTTACAAACAAATGAACAAAAACATTATACCCTTACCACCTTGTGGTGTAGGGTATAAAAAAAGTAAGTTCGGCGGGGCTGAACTTTGAATACCCTCCTCCATTTCGAACGAATTTGGCAAATTTTTGGCGAATTTTCAAAAAGAAAAATAAAATCCTTAAAATTTTCTGTTAAAATCTTAAAAATGCCGAATGTAGCCGTTATATTAGGGTCTATAAAACGACCTGGACCGGCATAGTCAACTTTTGTCAAAAGCCATTACAAAATTCAAATACGAAACTTGAAAAAAAAATTCGATGAATTCGGTTATATAAGGGCTATACGAAGGCGTGGACCTGCACAGATAATTTTCTGTCATAGGCTGTAGTATCTATTACGAACTTCAATTGCCAAATTTGAAACAATTCCGGAGAATAATGTCGCTAAAATCATCAAATAACGGAATATCTGGAGGTACCGCTATATGGAGGGCTATACGAAGGCGTGGACCTGCACAGATAATTTTCTGTCATAGACTGTAGTATCCATTACGAACTTCAATTGCCAAATTTGAAACAATTCCGGTGAAGAATGTCGCTAAAATCATCAAAATATCGAATATAGAGAGGTACCGTTATATGAGGGCTATACGATGACGTAGACCTGCACAGACAATTTTCTGTCATAGGCTGTAGTATCTATTACAAACTTCAAGCATCAAATTTTAAACAATTCCGGTGAACAATGTCTCTGAAATTATTAAAATACCGAATATCGGGAGGTACCGTTGTTTGGGGCTATACGAAAACGTGGACCTGCATAGACAATTTTTTGTCATAGGCTGTAGCATCCATTGCGAACTTCAAACACCAAATTTGAAACAATTCCGGCGAATAATGTCGCTAAAATCATCAAACTACCGAATATCGGGAGGTGTCGTTATATGGGGGCTATACGATGACGTGGACCTACATAACCCATTTTCAATACCAAAAGTCCTACGGACATAATACACATTTGAGAAAAATGTTATTAACCTATTTCATTTCATTTGGAAGCAAGAGCGATTTCCACAGACGGACGGAAACCGCTGATCAAAAATATATTCTTTGTGGGGTCTACAATGTAGAGGGTGAGACAAAAAGCTGCAACAATGTCAAGCGCTATATTATTTTAAATTTTGTTAAATTTTTTTGAATGAAAGCAAAAAATGTCGGAAATAGCTTCAGAATTTAGAATAAGTTTAGATTTGTTCGAATTGGTCACCTTTGGCACGAATTATGGCATTCAAATGGCCAATGAAACCGTCACACGCTGCCCGAATGTTACTCTGCGGTATTTTGGGCCATTCCCGGCGTAGCGCTTGCTTGAGGTGATCGACACTTTGGTATTTTTTAGTGGCAGCCTTGCTTTCCAAAATACTCCAGGCACAATAGTCCAACGGATGGGTATCCGGAGATTTTGGTGGTCATTGTTCGCTGGAAAAGATGCGAGGAACCTCATTTTGTAACCATTCTTGGGTGGCGTGTGCTGAGTGCGTTGGTGCTGAGTCCTGTTGGAATGTCCAAGATCTGCGGTCAAAATGTTTGCGTGCGCCCAAAGCTTTAATACACCCTCCAGAATATTTTCGCGATAATATTCGGCATTTATTCTGATGCCACGGTCGATTAATACGAGCGGAGAGCGACCATCGGCAGTTATGGCGGCCCTCATGGTCGGCGATTGAGTTCTGGTGGCCAACCGAAGTTGCACAATTCAGCTGACCTCCTTGGCAAGTAAACACGATCATTCTGTTTGGTTACAAACTGCTGTTTTCTCATCGGAGAAAACCAAATTCGGCAGTTCACCACTTTCGGCCAAGCGAAGCAACTCTTTAGCTCTTTTGAATCTCTTTTCTTTCTGTTGCGTTGTAAGTTCTTGCACTTTTTGGAATTTCAATGGCTTTACCCAGAGCTCATTTTGCAATATTTACCGAATGGGATATTGCGATATATTCAGCTCACGAGCCATTTTTCGGCCACTGCGACGCAGGTTTCAATCAAGTCGCTTCTTTACTTTCCGAACAATTTCTGCTGATGTTGTTGTTTTCTTCTGCTGTTGCCACTTTCTTGACGTCGGGCTATGCTACCAGTATGACGGTAACGAACGATGGTACGAGACACAAAAGATTTATTCACATTTAAATGCTGGAGTGCTCTAACGATAGCCACTTGTGGTTCTCCAGCCAAATATAAAGAAATCACACTATCGCGCTTGAATTCCATCACGAATAACTTTTTTTCCGGAAAATTTTCACCAAAAAGCCTTAGTACGCTTGTAAACAATATAATGAGCTGTCACTGGAATAATTTTAACAGCTGTCGGACAAGTGGCTTAGAAATGACAGCAGTCTGAAGTTGGCTGCAGTTTTTTTTTTTTATATCACCCTGTGTATTTCGAGGTGTTACATACGGAATGACAAACTTAATGTACCCTCCATACTATGGTGGAGGATATACTAATAAACAAGTAAAAAAGCAGTAAGTTCGGCCGGGCCGAACTTTGAATACCCTCCACCATTTAGAAAGAATTAGAAAATATTCAAAAAAAAATAAAATCCATTAAAAATTCTGTTAAAATCTTTAAAATACCTAATATCGGAAGGTGCCGATATATGGGGGGACATACGCTATTGTGGACCTATTTAGACAAATCTATGTCTGGGGGTAAAGTACTCACAAGGAACTCCTTGTGTGGATTTTCAGATAATTCCATTGGGAAATATGGCTAACATCATCAAAATACCGAATATCGGGGGGTACAGTTATATGGGGGATATACGATATCGTGGACCTATATAGACAATTCTTTTTGAGGGGGTAAAATTCCCACAAGGGACTCCTTTTGTGGAATTTTAGACAATTCCATTGAAAAATGTGGATAAAATCATCAAAATACCAAAAATCGGGGGTACCGTTATATGGGGGCTATACGATATCGTGGACCTATATAGATAATTCTCTGCCGAAGTATAAAGTGCCCACAAGGAACTCCTTGTGTGGATTTTCAGACAATTCCGTTGAAAAATGTGAGTAAAATCATCAAAATAACGAATATCGGGGGGTACCGTTATATGGGGGCTATACGATATTGTGGACCTATATAGATAATTCTCTGCCGAGGTATAAAGTACCCACAAGGAACTCCTTGTGTGGATTTTCAGACAATTCCGTTGAAAAATGTGGGTAAAATCATCAAAATACCGAATATCGGGGGGTACCGTTATATGGGGGCTATACGATATCGTGGACCGATACAGCCCATCTTCGAACTTGACCTGCCTGCAGACAAAAGAGAGATCTGTGCAAAATTTTAGCTTCCTATCTTAATTCGTTTAGACTGTAGCGTGATTACAACAGACGGACAGACGGACAGACGGATAGACGGACGGACAGGGCTAAATCGTCTTAGAATTTTACGCTGATCAAGAATATATATACTTTGTTGGGTCTAAAATGATTATTTCGATGAGTTACAAACGGAATGACGAGATTAATATACCCTCCATACCTTTTTTGGTGGAGGGTATAAAAAAAGTTTTCTATGAGGATTTGAGCCACCGTCCTGAAGTCGCAGAGGCCGATATGCTAGCTCTGTGCATCACCCGTTGGTGTATGTGGGGCGGTTAACTTCGCTCGATTAGGAAGTAAATGAGGTGATTGAAGTGATTTTTTCTAACAACATTTCGATCTCTGCAATAAACAGATGTGGAACAAATAAGAATAAGGAAAAAGTCCCAAACAGGACAGGCATGATTTTTTTTTTTTTTTTTTGTGATATCCCAGCAAACAATTTGTGATGAAAGTAAAACTAATCATAATTTACCACAAAAGTAGCCATTCGTCCATAGCTGCAGATGGTTAAGTCTTTTTGGACAAAGCGAATTACAGAAAATTCAGAGCTGATTTTAATGACGAGAATTTCGAATAGTGATTACCACACTTTGCCCTCCCATCCATGATCCTTTGATATTAATAAGAAAAAAATTAAAATTTTAAAGGGCCCCAAAAACACTATTACTTGTCCCACAGTTACATACAATGTAGGGCTGGGTATGCTTATTTGAAATGACATTACTTGCTTAACTATACCCTGGGAAGAACGCTGTATTAATTTTGCGAAAACGTTCTCAAATGTAACCAATTCGACTCTTAGATATCCCATAACTTCTTTTTTTTTTGCATTAGCGTAATTTCCGCTTATTTATCTAACCCACATTTTATTTACCCAGACGCCGCACGAGACTTGAGGCAATAAATAATGGCCTGCTGGCAAATAATTCCGTAAGGTGAGAACTAAGGCGTTAAAATATTCGTTAACCTTCAACTAGGCAAAGTAGGTCAAACGAAATTCATAAGCATTAAGAGTTTTGACACTTCACACCCAGCTGTGAATTAAATTGCGGGATAACAAAACTAGAATTTAGAATTCGGTAGAGTCAGAACTATTTGAATATTTTAAATATAAAAGCCGATTTTGTTAAAACGAAATCAGTGCGAATTCCCCTGCCGTTGGTGACTTTCTTTGGAAATCAAAATAAAATGCTACCTCTTCTATTCTTGGCTTTGATGTTGGGCTATACTTCCGCTGCCAGCCGTATAATTGGCGGACAATTTGCCACAGCAGGGCAATTCCCCTACCAAGTATCTCTACAACTAAAAGGACGTCATCATTGTGGTGGTTCCATAATATCGGAAACTTTTATTGTCACCGCAGCCCATTGTACAATTGGACAAAATCCAGCGGCGATGAAGGTCGTCGTCGGCACCAATGATCTCTTGGCCGGCAATGGTCGATCTGTAAATGTTGCCCAATTCATCATCCATCCCCGTTACAATTCTCAGAGTCAAGATTTTGATATGTCTTTGATTAAATTGGCCGAGCCGTTGCAATTGGGTACGGCGACAGTGGATAAAATCGAAATGGCTGCTGCGGATTCGAATTTTGCCGCCGACACTTTGGCAACGATTAGTGGTTTTGGAGCCATCAATGGCAACTTACAATTGCCGAATAAACTGAAATTTGCCCGTGTTCAGTTGTGGAGTCGTGATTTCTGCAATCCTCAAAATATACCCGGCATAACGGATCGCATGATTTGTGCCGGTCATCCCAGTGGACAGGTTAGCTCTTGCCAGGGTGACAGTGGCGGCCCCTTGACTGTGGATAATAAGTTGTTTGGTGTCGTTTCATGGGGCTTTGGTTGTGGAGCTCAAGGTAAACCGGCCATGTATACCTACGTGGGCGCCCTACGTTCGTGGATTAAACAGAATTCAGGAGTTTGAAAAAAATAACTTAAAAATGCTTAGATCTGATAAATAAAATCTGTTCCATTGCAATAGTTCGAATAGTTCTTGTTTATTTTCAGTTCTTAATAAAATTGATTTTGACAAGTGATAACCATACTTTGCCCGCTGTAACGGCAGAATTTCGCCCCTTGGGCTGGAATAGCTAGTCGAGGTCCTGCGATTCGTAGAGAAATTTATTTGTGAGGAAATAGTACTTCTCACACAACATTTTCCCCCAATAAGCCTTTCGCAGGGACGAAAATGACGCCAATTTTTCCAATTTTCTTATATTCTGGAGGATTTTCCTACGCTTATTATTATACCCTCCACGTTTTCGTATAGCCCCCATATAATGATACCTCCCTTGTATCGGAATTTTGATGATTTTAGCGAACCTATTCACCGGAATTGTTTCAACTTCGGTATTTGAAGTTCGTAATGGATACTACAGCCTATGACAGAAAATTATCTGTGCAGGTCCACGTCTTCGCATAGCCACCATATAACGGTACCTCCCGATATTCGGTACTTTGATGATTTTAGCGACATTATTATCCGGAATTCTTTCAAATTTGGTTTTTGAAGTTCGTAATGAATACTACAGCCTATGGCAGAAAATGGTCTTTGCAGGTCCACATCTTCGTATAGCCCCCATATAACGCTACCTCCCGATATTCGGTATTTTGATGATTTAAGCGACATTATTCACCGGAGTTGTTTCAAATTTGGTATTTGAAGTTCGTAATGGATACTACAGCCTATGACAGAAATTTGTCTGTGCAGGTCTACGTCTTCGTATAGCCCCCATATAACGGTACCTCCCGATATTCGGTATTTTGATGCTTTTAGCGACATTATTCACTGGAATTGTTTCAAACTTGGAATTTGATATTCGTAACGGATTCTCCGGCCTATGACAGAAAATTGTCAGTGCAGGTCCACGTCTTCGTAAAGCCCCCATATAACGGTACCTACCGATATTCTGTATTTTGATAATTTGTGTGACAATATTTACCGGAATTGTTTCAAATTTGGTACTTGATATTCGTAACGGATGCTCCGGCCTATGACAGAAAATTGTCTGTGCAGTTCCACGTTTTCGTATAGCCCCCATATAACGGTACCTCCCGATATTCGGTATTTTGATGATTTTAGCGACATTATTCACCGGAATTGTTTCAAATCCAGTACTTGATATTCGTGACGGATACTACAGCCTATGCCAGAAATTTGTCTGTGCAGGTCCACGTCTTCGTATAGCCCCCTTTATAACGGTACCTCCCGATATTCGGTATTTTGATGATTTTAGCTCCATTATTCACCGGACTAGTTTCACTTTTGGTGTTTGAAGTTCGTAATGGATACTATAGCCTAAGCCAGAAAATTGTCTGTGCAGGTCCACATCTTCGTATAGCCCCCATATAATGGTATCTCCCGATATTCGGTATTTTTATTATTTAAGCGACATTATTCACCGGAAATGTTTCAAATTTGGTTTTAGAAGTTCGTAATGAATACTAGAGCCTATGACGGAATATTGTCTGCACAGGTCCACACCTTCGTATAGCTCCCATATAACGGTACCACCCGATATCCGGTATTTTGTTAATTTTAGCGGTATTATTCACCAGAATTGTTTCAAATTTGGTATTAGATGTTCGTAACGGATACTGCAGCCTAAGACAAAAAATTGTATGTGCAGGTCCACATCTTCGTATAGCCGGTACTTCCCGATATTCGGTATTTTGATGATTTTATCTACACTATTCACCGAATTTTTCTTTCAAGTTTCGCATTTGAATATTGTAATGGCTTTTGACAAAAGTTGCCTATGCAGGTCCACGTCGTCGTATAGGCCATAACAGTTATATTCGGTATTTTTAAGATTTCAACAGAATTTTTAACGGATTTTATTCTTTTGAAAATTGCCAAATTCGTTCCAAATGGTGGAGGATATTCAAAGATCGGCCCGGCCGAACTTACTGTTTTTTTACTTATTTTTTCTTTATACATACCTGCAGAGCCCTACAAATTCTACAGAGTTGAATTTTCGCTCTACAAATGAAATTCGTCCAGCTTGTTATAACTTCTCTAAAAAGGTTTCAGGGAATCACAAAGCAAAACTACAGCTAGTATTTCCTGACTTCACACCTTTGAATGTCCAATACTCTCTAACATCAATTCCATTTTTCACACTCTCTCCTTACAACCACTCTATCCTTTCCCATCACATTTCATTGTCATTTGCCATATTTTCTTGGTGTTTACCACATATTTCTGTCATTTGCAAAAGATGTTTTATTTTTGTCAAAATCTCCTTGAATTGGGGTTTTTGGGTTTTTAGTGTCAATGAACCGTTATCGGATAATTTTTGTTAATTGTCAACTGATAAATTAACCACAAAATTTAATTTTCTGCTTCAGGAATTTTCAAAAGATTTTCGGGGGCCAAAAAGAAAATCTTTTGCTTAAGTGGCAAAATATGTTTTGTTGGTGTGTGTGCCAGGTCTTTTATTTCCAAAATGACCCTTTTAAATGTTTAACCTTTTGTAAAACATATTTTAAATTAAGTTAGAATTGTGTTGTACAGTTAGAGTGTGGTAACTGGAAATGAGTGACAGGAAACGAGATTGTTTGGAATTATTAAGGGCTTTGCTTAAATGCGATTACAAGGCTATTAAAATAATTTAGGACTCCAATATTTTAGTAACAAATTTGAAATTATGTTTGAAATAAGGTTGTAACAATTATCAAGCTTTTACTGTATTTGCAAAAGAAACGGTGATGTATCACTTGAAATATATAAAATATGTTTGAAATAAATCTTATAATATTTTGGAAAATGTTCTCCTTAATGTGTATTTTAGGCAGGTAATTCAAAGTTAATTAGAATTTTGAAGCACTGTCTGAAAATTGGTCTTTGAGGGATCAGTGCGACTCCATAGACGAACTGGGACGTCAGAGTGGCTTTATAGACGAGCTGGAGGACCTACGAAGGATCAGCGCGTCTATACGGATTCAGGCACTAGAGAATAACAAATTTGACATACTGATTTTAGAACTTAACGAGGACTGATTTATAAGCTATACCAACGTGGAATAAGGAAAAAGAAATAAAATGGATGTAATCGATGAGGAAGGAATTGCGAAACACACATTTTTAAATAGATTACAGTTTTTTTTCTAATAGAGCACAATTACTTCCGATGAGAAAATAAATTTGACAATGTATTTTAAGGTACGTCTATGGGAAACCCCCTGTCTCGAATCATTTCCAACATCGTACCAAATAAAGTATTTGACGACGTGATAGAGGAACTTACGATAAAATACATACGTTGTTACGATCCAAATGAACACACATATAATTATGATGGAGGTGGAAGCCCATCCCAACCACGGCCACTTAATACGTAATAATGAATGTTGTACTGGCTCCCAACCAACTTACATCTATTTTGACATTTAGTCTACAGGTTGAGATGAAAAAACTGCAACTAACTTTAGACTGCTGTCATTTCTAAGCCACCCGTCCGACAGCTGTTAAAATTATTCCAGTGACAGCTCATTATATTGTTTACAAGCGTACAAAAGCATTTTGTTGAGAATTTTCCAAAAAAAAAGTTATTGGTGATGGAATTCAAGCGTGATAGTGTGAGGCCTTTCTATTTGGCTAGAAAACCACCAGTGGCTGGAGCTAGAGAGAGGCTAGTTCTAGAAAGAGGATAAAGCAAGTGGTTAGAGCACTCCAGCATTTGCTCGTTACCGTGATACTGGTAGCGTAGCTCGACGTCAAAGAAGTGGACGGAAGAAAACAGCAACATCTGCTGGTCCGAAAAGTAAAGAAGTGACTTGCGTTGCAGTGGCCGAAAAATGGCTCGTGAGCTGAACATATCGCAATGTTCCACTCGGCAAATATTGAAAAAGGAGCTCGAGATAAAGCCTCGGGTTAAAGAAATTGAAATTGCAAAAAGTGCAAGAACTTACACCGCAACGGAATGAAAATAAACTCAAAAGAGCTAAAGAGTTTCTTCGCCGAATTTGGTTCTCTCCCATGAGAAAATATTTGTTGTTCAGCAGTTTGTAAACAACCAAAATGATCCGCTCGCGTTTACTTGCCAAAGAGGTCAGCTGAAAATGTGCACTTTCGGTTGGCCACCAGAACTCAAGCGCCGTCCAAGGTGATTGTGTGGGCCGCCATAACAGCCGATGATCGCTCTCCGCTCAAATTAATCGACCGTGTGGCATCAGAATAAATTGCCGAATATTACAGCAAAAATATTCTGGAGGGTGTATTAAAGCCTTGGGCATGCAAACATTTTGGCCGCACACCTTGGACATTCCAATGGGACTCAGTACCATCGCACTCAGCACGCGCCACCCAAGAATGGGTACAAAATAAGGTTCCTCGCTTCATTTCCAGCGCACAATGGCTACCAAAATCTCCGAATATCAATCCGTTGGACTATTGTATCTGGAATATTTTGAAAAGCAAAATTAAAAAAAATAACAAAGTGTCGATCATCTCAAGCAAGCGCTTCGCTGGGAATGGGCCAAAATACCGCAGAGCAACCGTTGGCCGTTTGAAGACCATAATTCGTAATTATATGTAGCTCTCGCTCTCGAACACTGGGAAAGGTGATGATAGGACAGCAATCACATTTAACGACGTAACGGTGACTGATCTGAAGAGGTGCGCTGGCCATTTTATCCGCCAATTTGTCGAGCACCCCGAGAGTGATAGGGCGAGGCGAAGAGTACTACGTCGTATAAGAGCTCTTATCGCCGAGGATGTACCTCTACAGTTAATGATGGGAGATGTTGTGAATGTCATCCGAATCGCTAAGTCATCTAAAACGTTGGGACCGGACGGAATATCAATGGTTATGTTGAAGAATTCTGTTAAAATTTTAAAAATACCGAATGTAGCCGTATATTAGGGTCTATACGACGACGTGGACCTGCATAGGCAACTTTTGTCACAAGCTATTACAATATTCAAATGCGAAACTTGAAGAAATCTGTTTATAATGTAGCTAAAATCATCAAAATACCGAATATAAGGAGGTACCATGGTGGTTATAAAACGCGGACCTGCACAGACAACGTTCTGTCATCGTTTGTAGTATCCATTACGAACTTTATATACCGAATTTGAAATAATTCCGATGAATAATTTCTCTAAAATCATAAAAATACCGAAAGGAGGGAGGTACCATTATATAGGGGCTATACGACGACGTGGACCTGCACAGACAATTTTCTGTCTTAGGCTGTAGTATCCATTACGAACTTCAAATACCAAATTTAAAACAATTCCGGTGAATAATGTTGCTAAAATAATCAAAATACCGAATAACCTTTATCATGGCGGAAGCTAGAGTGATTTCCACAGACGGATAGACGGACGGACATCGCTAAATTTGCCATAGAATTTCATGCTGATCAAGAATATATATACTTTGTGGGGTCTAAAATATATATTTCGAATGACAAACTTAATATACCCTCTATACTACGGTGGGGGGCATAAAAAATGCCTATTTTTCAAAGTGTTTTCCCACACCTATTATCTTTTTCATGACATCATATTTATAATATTATTGGTCTCTATTTTCCCCTCAGTTGTACAATAATTGTAAAAACGTTTTGACCATCGGTTTCTCCGGACAACAACCCGAAAAAATATCCGTTAAAAATTCAAAATTTAATAATTTTCCTTTACGACTCATCCAGCGTAAGTCTTTATGTTATGCGATCGACTCCAATTCATCTTTCAGCCCCCGACTCCCGAATATTTATATTTTTTTACGTTTTATTGAATGAAAGTTTTAATGAATTTCTGAAATAGCATCAAATTTTAAAATACGTTTAGATTTGTTCGAATTGGTCACCTTTGGCACGAATTATGGCCTTCAAACCATTTTCGGCCAAGCGAAGCAACTCTTTAGCTCTTTTGAGTCTATTTTCATTCTGTTGCGGTGTAAGTTCTTGCATTTTTTTGGAATTTCAATGGCTTTACCCCGAGCTCATTTTTCAATATTTGCCGAATGGAATATTATATGTACAGCTAACGAGCCATTTTCGGCTACTGCGACGTGGGTTTCGATCAAGTCGCTTCTTTTCATTTCGAACCATTTCTGTTGATGTTGCTGTTTTCTTCCGTCCACTTCCTTGACGTCGGGCTACGCTACCAGTATCACGAAACACAAAAGATTTATTCACATTTAAATGCCAAAGATAGCCACTTGTGATTTTTCAGCCAAATATAAAGAAATCACACTATTCCGCTTGAATTCCATCACGAATAGATTTTTTCTGGAAAATTCTCACCAAAGTGCTTTTGAACGCTTGTAAACAATATAATGAGCTGTCACTGAAATAATTTTAACAGCTTAGAAATGAGAGCAGTCTGAAGTTGGCTGCAGTTTTTATGCCCTACACCACAAAGTGGTCAGGGTATTATGTCTTTGTGCATTTGTTTGTAACAGGCAAAAAGAAACGAGATAGACTCATAGTTCCTTTTGATGATCTGCATAGAATCACATTCTGAGTCGATTTATGCATGTCCGTCCGCCTGTCCATGTATTTTTGTGAACAAAGTACAGTTCGCATTTATTACCAGATCCAGATGAAATTTTGCACAGATCACTTCTTTGGCCCAAGGACGAACCCTATTGAAATTTAGATATAGCTCTCATATATATCTTCGTTCGATTTGCCTTTTATTGTGCACCAAACGTGTAATATCAGCCCGAATTGTATGGAATTTTGCACATACAACCAAATTAGGCCTTAAAATAAATATGCCAAATTTGATCGAAATCGGTTCACATATATTGTTCATCGGATTTGTTATTTTAGTCCTCCTCAGCCGTAATATGCACTCTGTAACAACAATATTTGGAGAAATATATCAAATGCTGCTCAAAAATACATTTGCTAAATTTTATCGAGATCGGTTCAGATTTGGATGTAGCTCCCATATATAACTTCGTCCGATTTACATTTTATTGTCCACCAAACGTTTAATATTTGTCCAAATGGGATGGAATTTGGCACATACGACCGAATTTAGTCTAGAAGGTAGTATGCCAAATTTGGTGAAGATCGGTTCAGATATAGCAATAGCTCCCATGTATATTGTTCATCCGATTTGTTGTATTTGTTACCCATGGCCGTAATATGCTCTCCGTAGCAACGATATTCATGGAAATATATCAAATACAGCTCAGAAATATCTCTGCCCAATTTTATCGAAATCGGTTCAGATTTGGATACATCTCCCATATATATCTTTATCAGATTTCAAATTAATTTTGCACCAAATGGGCAATACAAGTCCGAATTTAAAAGATACAAATGCTTCGGCGTATTTAGTCCTTTAAATTTTAAATTCTAATTATAATCATAGGGTGTATGATTGAATTCTGCATTAAAAACTTTTAATTGTTATGTGGAGCTCTACTAAATTAGCAAAGTGGTGTAGAGTATCATAAAGTCGGCCTCGCCCGACTTTAGGACTTTCTTCACCGGTTTTATCAGGTGTTCTACCTACCCAATATTTTTTGCCACACGACTATCGTGTTGCACAAAAGTCAATTTGAGACTTGACATTATTTATATTTGTTAACCCTACGAGTCTATGTTCGTTCACGAAGAAGCCAGCAGATTACTTAAGCTCGTCAAAAAAAAAACCTTTTATGTATTCTTACTTTTGCTTATTCCGGAGAGAGAGCAAATGTCAACAAACACCAGAGAAGAAAAAAAATAAAATCCGTTAAAAAGTCTGATAAAATATTAAAAATACCGAATGTAGCCGTATATTAGGGTCTATACGATGACATGGACCTGCATAGGCAACTTTTGTCATAAGCCTGTACAGACAATTTTCTGTCACAGGCTGTAATATCCATGACGAACTTCAAATGCGAAATTTGAAATAATTCCGGTAAGCAATGTCGCTAAAATAATCAAAATACCGAATATGTAAGAAGTGTATCTGCAAAAAAAATTTTCTGTCATAGGCTGTAGTATCCATTATGATCTTCATAAACCAAATTTGAAAGAATTCCGGTGAAAAGTATCCCTGAAATCATCAAAATACCGAATATCGGGAGGTACCGTTATATGGGGGCTATACGAAGACGTGGACCTGCACAAACAATTTTCTGTCTTAGGGTGTAGTATCCATTTGGAACTTCAAATGCCAAATTTGAAACAATTCCGGTGAATAATGTCGCTAAAATCATCAAAATACCGAATATCGGGAGGTACCGTTATATGGGGGCTATACCAAAACGTGGGCATACATGGCCCATTTTCAATACCAAAAGTCCTGCAGACATAATACACATTTGAGTAAATTGTTATCAATCTACTTTAATTTGTTCGGAAGCTAGAGTGATTTCCACAGACGGACAGACAGGCGGACGGACATCGCTAAATCGACAAAGAATTTTATGCTGATTAAGACTATATATATACTTTGTGGGGTCTAAAATGTATATTTCGAGGTGTTACAAACAAAATGACAAACTTAATATACCCTCCATACTATGGTGGAGGGTATAACAACAATTACAGAAGCGAATGACAAATAAAATAATCAAAAATCCAAATATGTGGTTTCAAAATTCCATTCCATAAACCTTTCCAAAAGTATGCATATTGCCTTAGCGGTTTAAATCAGTTTACATTGGTAACTATGTTGTTATGATATCATGACAACAGAGGTATTTTCACAGGGTTGCCATATTTTGACTCTGTCTTGTCCCATCTTTATAATTAAAGAAACAAGCAACACACTTATCGTGTACAAAGCCAACGAAACATTAGCAACAATTTTTGCCAGAAGAGCACTAAAAAGAGACAAATGTAATGAGAACGCCATCGTAATTGGATAACACGTAAGAGCATCGAAAGTGAGCATTGCAACAAAGTATATTTGGGAACAAAAAAAGAGACAACACATCGATGAGAGCGATCACACACAGGAGAGAGTACAAATGTCAATAAACACCAGAGAAGACAAAAAAAAATACCAAATTATGATACTATGTTGCCATAGCTTAGGTGATGTGTTTTGTGATATTATTTAGGATTTTTTATTAACAATTATTTATTTATTGTTTTATTTATAAAGAAACATATACTAATTGTTAGTAAACATTTATAATTAAATATTCAATGGAAAATACAATTCAAAAAAGAAATACAAAATCAATGAAATACCCACCGAAGAAGCCATTAGTTTTCTTTATTTATATATCTGACCAAAAAGCTCATTAAAATAATTAAAAAAAATTAATTCCCTTTACGACTTATCTTACGAACCACTGCTGCCGTCTTCGGCACCGAAGACCCTTGGGTTAACAATTTGGCAATTAATTGTTGATCTTCATAAAAGGCAAGAGAATAATTGAAATTAATGATGGGCGTATAGGGTGGCAGGGTGTCTTCGGTTAGTAGAAAATCTTTCATGCTATATAAAATGTTCTGAAAAAATAAAGGGAAACTTAAAAACTATTCAAAATTTTAAGATATTTCAACCACTTACCCCCTTAATGGGACAATTGCAGGGCAAATTACTCGACGACATCAATTGGAGAAACAGTTTTCGAATTATGGGCATCCCTTTGAGCTGCTGCAATGCTTCGCAGATATTCAATTTCATATTAACAAAACTCCGAATTTTATCATCCTTGACATGTTGATAGGTAATTTTGATTTCAATTTCGGCATTGTTGAGCAATTGGCGTTCCAACATCACAGCTATGTTGGATGAGAAGCGATTAGGGGCCAATTTTCGTATGCTGCAGTTAATAAATTTCACCGGATATGTGTGGCTCAGCACAGAGGATTTGTGGAATTCCACATTGAAGGAACGAGCAGCTAGCTTTTTTACAATGGGAAAATAATTAAATTTATTTCAAAATATTACATTTTTCAAAAATAAATATTAAAGACTTACCATAATTTTTAAAAAAGTCCCCAACAAAATAAAAAATCCCAAATAAATTCTTAACATTTTTAAAATGTTTTAATAACAAAAACATCCATCCGCAATATGACGTTATGTTTTGCAATTTCCTTTCCCAAATTCCTCTTGTCATGTTCTTTTTTTTTTTCATTATTTCTATTTTAATTTATGCAGATTTTTAGTGAAGATAAATAATAATTTTATTTTAATTAGGGTATTTTAGGAAATAGTTTTTCAATGGTCCGTTTCGCTTACCACATTTAATTGGAGTCATTAATTTGGAACAAATAATTAAACTGAATTGGAAATTCGAACTACAAGAGTAGATTTTCAAAGGTTTGAAAAAGGAAATCTATCAAGGGAAGTCTGTAAAAATCTTTTACAGACCATGACCAAATTGTAGGAGATTATGAAAATGTCATCAAAAAATTCTTCCATATTTAGAGCACTAATATCTCACAAGGCTCCAGTGCTAAAAAGGCTAACACCTTTGCGGAATATTTACGAAATATATAATTTCCAAATGTCAGTACTAAAGAGAGAAGAAGCAACAATTCAGCCGAAACATACTAAGAACCTAATAATGACACAGAATTTAAAAAAAAAAATTTAAAGAAATCTGGAAATTAGCGAGGGTTTTGATTGTTAAAAACCCTATGGGTTTAATTTAATTAGAGGTGATATACAGGGTGAGATAAATAAAACTGCAACAATACCAAACGCCATAATTTTTACATTTTCTTAATTTTATTGAATGAAAGCAAAACAAGTTAAAAAGTATCAGGTGGTATTTGCCGCCAGAGATATACCCTCAGCCTATGTTCGATTATCTGAATATATTTTGACTAGTGTTAAGGTTATTCAAACGTTTGACCCTCTATGGAGCAGATCCCGAAGGAATGGGCCAATATTGCCCATTTCCTATCGGACCCAAAAATATGATATAAATATTTCGACAGATGTGCCAAGTCTAAATGGAATCGGATGTTAATTTGACGATTTATGAGCTTCATGGGTACTCAAAATTTCAATATTTTGTGGGGGGGAGGCACCAGAAGGAGTGGACCGATGTATTCCCCCTTCACACCAGACCATGGGTTAATACAAATATTAGGATGTGTGAAATTTGAAGAAAATCGGACTTTTACATCACATTTAATGATATTGTAATTATTCAAAATTTTGACCATTTGTGGGAGAGGTACTTGATGGAGTGGACCGATATTGTCCATTTTCACACCTGTCCTAGCACTGACGCAAATATTAGGATTTGCAAAGTCGGAGCAAATTCGGATTAGCATTTCTCTTTCTGTGCAAAAAATATGTTTTTTTTTTTTGAAAATTTCGACCTTTTGTGGGGGAGGTACCAGAAGGAGTGGGCCGATATTGTTCATCTTAACACCAGTCCTTGGGTTAATATAAATATTCGGATGAGTGAAATTTGAAGACAACCGGACTCCTACATCACATTTTATGAGAGTTGTAATTATTCAAAATTTTGAGCATTTGTGGGGGAGGTACTTGATGGAGTGGACCTATATTGTCCATTTTCACACCTGACCTAGCACTGACGCAAATATTACGATTTGCAAAGTTAGAGCCAATTCGGATTATTCTTTCTTTTTCTGTGCAAAAAATATGTATTTTTTGAAAGTTTCGGCCATTTGTGGGCGAGGTGCCAGAAGGAGTGGACCGATATTGCCCATCTCCGAATTCAATCTAAGTTTGACAAAAATATTACGATGTACCAAGATTGGACCAAATCGGATACTCCCTTCAAGAGTTATCGTGCGCACCAGCCAGCCAGACAGACAGACGGACGCTAGATCGACTCGAAATGTTCTGAAACGGATTTGGTCCCAAGAGACCTAGGATCTAAAACCGTTATTTCGACTAGGCACGACCTATCAAATGATATATACCCTCTGTAGCCATATGGCTGAGGGTATAAAAATGTCGGAAATAGCATCAAATTTTAGAATAAGTTTCGACTTGTTCGAAATGGTCACCTTTGGCACGAATTATGGCCTTCAAATGGCCAATGAAACCGTCACACGCTGCCCGAATGGTGCTCTGCGGTATTTTTCCCCTTTGTCGGCGAAGCGCTTGCTTGATGTGATCGACACTTTGGTATTTTTTAGTGCCAACCTTGCTTTCCAAAATACTCCAGACACAATAGTCCAACAGATTGGTATCCGGAGATTTTGGTGGCCATTGTGCGCTGGAAATGAAGCGAGGAACCTCATTTTGTAACCATTCTTGGAAGGCGCGTGCTGAGTCCTGATGTTTGCGTGTCCAAGGCTTTAATACACCCTCCAAAATATTTTCGCGATAATATTCGGCATTTATTCTGATGCCACGGTCTATTAATACGAGCGGAGAGAGACCATCGGCTATTATGACGGCTCACGTCATCACCATGGCCGGCGCTTGAGTTCTGGTGGCCAACCGAAGGTGCACATTTTCAGCTGACCTCTTTGGCAAGTAAACACGATCGTTTTGTTTGTTTACAAACTGCCGGACAACGAATGTTTTCTTCATCGGAGGAAACCAAATTCGGCAGTTCACCACTTTCGGCCAAGCGAAGCAACTCTTTAGCTCTTTTGAGTCCATTTTCTTTCAGTTGCGGTGTAAGTTCTTGCACTTTTTGGAATTTCAATGGCTTTACCCCGAGCTCATTTTGCAATATTTGATGAATGGAATATTGCGATATGTTCAGCTCACGAGCCATTTTTTGGCCACTGCGACGTGGGTTTCGATCAAGTTGCTTCGTTACTTTTCGAACCATTTCTGCTGATGTTGGTTGCTATTTTTTTTTCGTCCACTTCCTTGACGTCGGGCTACGCTACCAGTATCACGGTAGCGAGCGCTGATACGAGACACAAAAGATTTATTGACATTTAAATGCTGGAGTGCTCTAACGATAGCCACTTGTGGTTCTTCAGCCAAATATAAAGAAATCACACTATCACTCTTGAACTCCGTCACGAATAACTTTTTTTCTGGAAAATTCCCAGCAAAATGCTTTTGTAGGCTTGTAAACTTTATAACGGGCTGTCACTGGAATAATTTTAACAGCTGACGGACGAGTAGCTTAGAAATGACAGCAGTCTGAAGTTGGCTGCAGCTTTTTTCATCTCACATGTAATCGCAGCCGCACAATTATTCACACCTATTCTTAGGTTTCGTAGGTCTGATATCAGCCTATATACAATTAATTCATGCTGAACGTGTTTATTTTTAATCCTTATTCCTTGTTTGGAGTTCTATTAGCCAGGTCTTACAATAATACTAGCGTTAGCCCACGTTACCATAAAAAAACATGACCAAATGTCTGAAGGGTGATCTGAGAATTGACTCAAAAAGTAAATTTAAGTCTCGTTGGAGGTTATTTTATATATATATAAAATTGTTCAATAGCTTGAGGTTTCAAAATAGCGATAAGAGTTATAAAATGTTTTTTCCGATTTTGTTTTAAGAGTACAATTTGTTGAATATTTTATGCGTGCTGCTGCCGATGTTCCAATTAAAAGACAGTTGTGTTCTGTTCGAGTTCTTTATTCTGAGTGATCAACTTACAACTTAGACGCTAAGAAGGAATGCTAATATTTACATGTTGGTACTTGTGTGTGCGAACTAATCGCAGTTAGTAAAAAGCGTATGTTGTGTGTTGTAAAAGTAATAGGGTTCTCTAAATGCAATACTTACAATACAACTATGTATTAGTTCGTTAAATCGTAAGGGATATAGGATGTAAATTAAGTGGAAAGCGGGGCCCTTAAAATCAAAGAGATTGAACATAAAAGGTCAAGGTTTGGTGGGCAAAATGTGGGTGTGACTTCCATCAACCACCCTGTCTCCCTGTTTTGAATTGTATTTGTAAAAAATGATTTCTGTCAGGTGATAGGCTTGTATTACGACTTCTAATCGATCCTTTCGATACGAGTTCTAATATGTTCCATTGAAATACTCCCCCCAAAAATTTCTCCTATTTATCACAAAACCACAACCAGTTTTTGCAATCATATCGAAATATTTTTCAAATTTTTATTAGTTTTTGGATATTTTTTAGGTTTCGTCCTTGGCACCGTAGACCCTTCCACAATGTAGGTGGCAAAAACCCCTCCATTTTCATGAAAATATAACGAGTAGTTGAAGGAGATAATTGGCGTATAGGGTGGTAGAATTTCTTCGGTTACAATGAAATCGGTCATGTTGTACCAGATGTTCTAAAAATAAAATCAACAAAATATTTCTTAAAAAATATTACGAACCAGACCATGGAACAATTAAGGCAAGGTAACCTCATTTCAAAAATTAATAGCCAGCTGTAAATTTTCTAAACTCTGCCTTTTTATACCCTCCACCATAGTATGGAAGGTATATTAAGTATTAAGGGTATTATTTAGACCCCACAAAGTATATATATTCTTGATCAGCATAAAATTCTATGGCAATTTAGCGATGTCAGTCCGTCTGTCCTTCTATCTGTCTGTCCGTGTGTGGAAATCACTCTAGCTTCCGAACGCACTGAAGTAGATTGATAAAATTTTGCTCAAATATATGTTATGTCTGCAGGACTTTTGGTATTGAAAATGGGTCATGTAGGTCCACGTTTTAGTATAGCCTTCATATAACTGTACCCCCCGATATTCGGTATTTTGATGATTTTAGCGAATTTATTCAACGGAAATGTTTCAAATTTGGTATTTGAAGTTCATAATGGATACTACAGTCTAAGACAAAAAATTGTCTGTGCAGGTCCACATCTTCGTAGAACCCCCATATAACGGTACCTCCCGATATTCGGTATTTTGTTGATTTTAGCGAATTTATTCAACGGAAATGTTTCAAATTTGGTATTTAAAGTTCGTAATGGATATTACAGCCTAAGACAGAAAAGTGTCTGTGCAGGTCCACATCTTCGTGTAGCCCCCATATAACGGTACCTCCCGATATGCGGTATTTTGATGACTTT